GCCTTCTCTAGTGCAGCTCAACAATGTCTCGTCCCATTCGTCGATCTTTGTGATATCACAAATCCCGGAAAATATGCGTTGTAGTCCAAACGAGTCGTTCGTTGTAGTTTTTGAAAAGTGATTTCTGTTAAATAAAATATCTCCTTTTGAAGTGGACTTAGAGCTTTGTAACTTTGCAGATCTTTTTTTATGCTCAAACAGCAACATTACAGACTAACTGAAGTTGAAAAAGTGAAAAAGCATAATAGGACCCCTTTAAAACGTAATTCATTTGTGATACTTTTATATTGCTTCCATCAAGTTTTTTAAATTAGAAGTAAAGAATGTAATACACCTTCCAGCAAAATAACTATATTATATGATTATGTAGTGTTTTTTTTTTTGTTTTTTTTAACCGTCATTTGCCTACTTTTTAGAACTTTTTACATTATAAATCTTTCACTTACTGCATCCTCTTTTACAAATGGCATCATATATCTGTATAATATCTCTGTCTTTCACAATACTGAACAGCAGAAGAGACACTCACACAGAAACCGTAATTGGATTTCTGTGCGTGTAGCAGCAAGCCATCAGAGACCGAAATACACTCATCAGGGGGGCTTCTTGCAGAAGGATGTGTGATCTTGAAGCCATTATTTCATGAGTGACACATTTGAGTTTTGTAATCTCCAGGGATCGGAGATTACAAATGCCTGTCTGGTGCTATTATCTCGCTTTTCATTTAGATAATGAGGGATGCTATGATGTCAGAATAGACGCACTACAAGCACTTGAATATGGCGGCTCTCGAATGTGAGAATATGATGCGCGGGTAGAAATTTAGAGCATCTTTGAGGAGTTTGTAGTGCTTGCATAATACACCGGAAGCTTCAAAACACATCAGAAGTGTCTGCGTTTGCTTGTTTATCATTGTATTTCACTCCACTTCTAAATTCCTTTCTCTTGTTCTTCCCATGCCAACTTCTCTTTTGAGATTCAGACTAGTGCTGTGGTAATCTGTAATTAAGTAGAGGCCTGTCTTGGCCCTGAGGGTAATTGCTCTGTCCTTATAAGCTGAACTCAATTACACTGGCCCACACCGGGATGCTGAATTCGATTTGTCAGAGAGTTTGCCAGCAGGGGGCAGTGACTTGTCACACATTCTGCGCTAATAGCAGTCATTTCTCTTCATGCTTCTCTTACTCCTGTTAGATTAACCACTAACTCCTTCTATTTAACATCTAGGAAAGAGATGATTTGATATTAAGGGTCAGCTCAGAAAATGCAAAGAGCTCATTTTACAAACCATGCCGAGAAAGATGCAGGGAACTGGGAGCATTCAGTTTTATCCCATATTGCGTGTTATTAAAATGTTATGTAGTTTTAGAGTGCAAGTAAAGGTGCCTAATAGCCCCTGCACATCTGCACAGGTCATCAATTTATGTGAAGGTTGGACTTATGAATATTAATTGGGTAATGTAAGTGGAGATTACTGAGCAACGATTAGTCTTAGTTCATTAATATTCATGAGCTCTGTCTTCTCTATACTGACGTCTCTTAAACGTATTCTGGCAGCACTGGCTGAGATTCACTTTGTCTGCCATTTTCTCTTTTCTAGCTTGTGATGAGTGGACTGTTCTGCCCAATCCAGATCTTCACCATGATGTCAACCGTTTTGGCCACTCAGCCGTGTATCACACTGGGTAATCTCAATGCTTTATATGTGCTCAGTATGTGAAAATATCCAGTCGCACTTGTTTTGGATTAAATGAATAGTTAGGATGATATACACTACCGTTCTGAAGTTTGGTGTTTGTAAGTTTTATTTATTTAGTTATTTTTAAAGAAATGTATACATTTATTCGGCAAGGAAGTGACCGTAAAGACATTTACAATGAAAAATTGTTGACATTTTATTTTGTGTCCTTGTCACAGTGTAATTATATATTTAAGTACGGAGTAATATTAATTAGCTACATGTACTTACTATATGGTTAGGGTTTGGATTAGGGTTACTTGCATGTAATTATGCATAATTTATTGTTATTATAATAATATGTACATTACATTTAATTACATTAATAACATCACAGGAATAAATTTTCAAATCTATTAAAATGAAAAACAGTTATTTTAAATTGTAATAATATTTCACAATACTACTATGTTCACTTTTCACTATTTAACAATAGTGACAATTTTGAACTAAACTTTTAAACTGTAGCATAACTTTGAACTCTACTGATATTTGTGGCATGCTTTTGAATACCACCGAGAATATATTAGACCCATACCTCAATTTCTACAATCGAATGAATTTTTTTTTTTTTACAATAATACACTTTCAAAGGAAGTCTATGTTGCATTAATGTACATTAACTGAAATACTGTAAAAGCTATACACTTAAATTTTTTTCAAGTGTGATAGAATTACTTTTTGCCTTGTCTATGTAAAATAGGTCTTTAAATTTAAATTATGACCATGTAAACCTATACTTTATACTACACCTATGGGAAAGATTTTATGAAAAATCACCAGGGAGGAACGTAGCCAGGTTGCATTTGGATATCGCATAACCAAAAGTTCATCTGCCTAGAAACCAAACCCACTTCAAAAAATTGATTTACAGCTCAAATGCTAACCATTTGCACTGAATAATTCAAGTTATTAAAAAAAATAAGAACATCATATTTTTGCTTTTAAACACTCCGGTAAACTTGTCATACAAACTGTAAACAAGCTGTTTGATTTGTTACAAACTGAGTCAAAATTATTTCCTCCGATAACTGACAGCATGCCACTAACGCTTACATTGTTCAAACCCACTTCAAAAAATTGATTTACAGCTCAAATGCTAACCATTTGCACTGAATAATTCATTTAAGTTATTAAAAAAAATAAGAACATCATATTTTTGCTTTTAAACACTCCGGTAAACTTGTCATACAAACTGTAAACAAGCTGTTTGATTTGTTACAAACTGAGTCAAAATTATTTCCTCCGATAACTGACAGCATGCCACTAACGCTTACATTGTAATGAGTCCTGTTCCTTTTTAAAAGTGTTTCTATTTCTGTGATGTTTGAACAGTGTTGTGGTAAATATGAAGTCTATATTTAAATCTGCCTGTAATTTCCTTCCATACGGATTAGTCAAATGAATTCATAAAGCAGAATCATTATCCATAAATAACACGTCTCATTATTAGTGCTTCAGTTTGCCAGCTTAACAAACACAGTCTTCTAACTGCACTTATCCACACAGAAGACTTTCTCCTGTGAGATTTTGACTGTGATCTGTATTCTTACCCATAATTCCCAGCGTCATTGTCAGCGCCGCTATGAGCACTGAGTGACCCCTCTGTGGGGAGCTGTGCCACAACACTGCTTTTGCTGTTTGACTTGTCAGTCTCATGCGCTTTATTCATCACTCCTAACTTCCTTTTCATGTTCTTCCTCATTCGCACTGCCCGCTTCTTCCTCACCCTTCATACCTCTCCCTGTCCTCTCTCGTTCTTTCGGAGATACTCGAGGTTAATCTCTGTCTGTTTTTGTGCGTGTGTGTCAGGGTGATGTACGTGTATGGAGGCTTTAACAGCCTGATGCTCAGCGATGTGCTGAGGTTCACCCCTCCGAGCTGCGCTGCTTTCTCTGAGCAGCTGGAGTGTGTGACGGCTGTGCCCAGCGTGAAGTGTGTGTGGAACTCCACTACCTCCACCTGTATGTCCTGGGACGCAGCGGCACCCCATGACACCGAGGGCTTGAGAAACACCTGCAGTCCCAGAGGGTGTAAGTGACAGGAACAAAGAGGACGTCTGCTTCCTGTGTGTCTTTAGAACTCTTCAGAGTTTTTAAGTTATAATTATTACTTATGTGGCAGTGTCTGGATTTATCCATTACACTTAACTGCATTTATGTGAGATCCTGTAAACGTCTCATTCTAATGGCTTGCGCTTAAATGCAAAAACATTTAATTTACACTACTGTTCAGATTTTGAGATTAGTAAGATTTTTATTTTATTTTTAAGAAATTAATTCTCTTTGAATTTCAGCAAGGACACATTAAATTGATCAAAAGTGACAGTAAAGACATGTATAATGTTGCAAAATATTTTTATTTCAAATACTGTAAATACTATTAGTTAGACATTTTTATACATCAAAGAATCCTGTAAAAATATATCACCGTTTCCACAAAAAATGCCAGGCAGTACTAATATTTTCAACATTGATAGCAAAAAATGTTTCTTGAGCAGCAAATCAGCATATTAGAATGATTTTATTTATTTATTTATTTTTTGGATATTAGGCTGCGTTTACCCTTTTTGTTTTAAAACGCATAACTTTTGCTATGGTTCCGCCTGTCGTTTACTCTACTCCTCCGTTTTTGACCCTCGAAAACAGAGACTTTCAAAAAACGCTGCAGACCCCATTTTAGTTTGAAAACTCGTTTCAGTGTAAACGGACCAAAACGGAGACTATTGAAAACGATGGCGTGGCTGCCCACATTCGCTCTGCGCATTCAAGATGACCGTGTAAACAATAACTGTGTACACATTTACTCCACTGATCTATATTTTATCTATTATAGATCAGTGGTTTACAGTGCACGCATGCCCAGTGTGCATGAATGGTCATGTGACATGCGTTTTCGGTTGTGTAGTGATGGATAGAGATCGTTTCTGAAACGCAGTGAAAACGCCAGTATAGACGAGGATCGTTTTCATTTTAAAACGCCATTTTAAAATGAAATGCACTAGTGTAAACAGGGCTTTAGCATATTTAGAATGTTGTTTTTTTTTTTGCATATTAGAATGATTTCTGAAGGATCATGTGACACTGAAGACTGGAGTAATGATGCTGAAAAGTCAGCTTTGCATCACAGGAATAAATGAAAAAACATGGTTATTGTCAAATAAATGTATAAATATTATACTGAGAAAACCCAAAGTTATAGTGAATTTATCACTAAGAATTATGAATTATCACTGAGAGTTTTCTTAACTTAAGGGGTTTTCCTTCCCATCATATTGCAACCGGCTGCTGGCTCTCCTTATTGATGTGAAGTTTTTTATGCCTTATGGGATACCAGCAGGCAGTATTTATGCCACCAAGTGTTATTTTAACCAGAAAATTGGCAAAAAGGCCTAAATCCATGATGGTGCACCAGGCAGTAAGAAGATTTGCACTCGACGAGAATGTTAGCTTTAGTTATTTGGCAAAAGCAGTGTTGTGAACATGCAATATTCACAAACACAAGCCTTCTTAACCGAGCGGGATTCGATTTTTTTTGAGGATGTCAGAGTTAGGCCAGAAATGATGGGTAATTTGCTCTAGTTTTTTTTTTTTTTTTTTTTTTTTTTTTTTTGAAATTTTATTTTTTTTAATTTCAGTCCAAATCAAGATAATATTTCTGCAAAACATGAACTAGTCTTGTCCGAATAGAAGATATTCTTAATGATCTGTCATATGCAGTTACTTACAACAGATTTGTCTGTATGTTTACCTTTTGTTCCAGAGTGTGGCATCACTGGATACACAGTTACCGCCACAGGCGTTGTAAGCATTAATATATGTGTGTGCTTTCCAGATGCAGATGGTGAAAAGTGTGACCAGTATTCAGACTGCTACAGCTGTACAGCAAACACTAACAGCTGCCAGTGGTGCGCTGCGGTCTGTGTGTCTGGTCATAGTAACTGCACCAGTTCCCCGGTAAGACTCCACATTTAATATGCCGTGACTTACAGAAAAGTGTGTGGAAGAACAAATTTCAGTTTATGAGTTTGTAATACTGGGACTCTGACATGTCTAATCTGTCTGCCGGTCTGCAGGGTGGGATAATGGAGTATGAGGCATGTCCAAAGGATAACCCATCCTTTGTGTGCAGCAAGAAGACCAGCTGTAAAAGTTGTACCACAGATCAGAACTGCCAATGGGAGACGAGAAATCAAGAGTGCACTACCCTCCCTGGTAATAAACACAAACATTGTGGTTTAACTGGTCTTTTGACCTTCAAATCATATAGGAAGCTATTTGAAGTTCAAGAGCAAAGTCATAGTTAGTCATAGTCCACTGGAAAAACAATGGCAGAATAATACAGGTATAGAATAAAATATCTAATATTATTGAAATAATATCACTATTACTGTTGTTGCTGTATTATTATTTATTATTAATTTAATTATTTATTTTTGTTAAAGGCCTCCATAAAGAATTATAATAATAATAATAATAATAATAATAACATTAGTTTTATTATTATTTGCATTTGTTTTTAAAGGCCTCCGTTTATCATTAGGATATTATATTATATTATATTATATTATATTATATTATGTTATATTATTATGTACATATATCATATGTTGCCTATTGGCATTGGCAGTTATTTAAAAACCTGTTATTATAATTCTATCATTATATTTTATATTGTACTTTAAATATTTTATAGAATTTCCTGTTTTAAAAAAATATTTTATATATAGTCCATTGCAAAAACAATAACAGAACCACAAACTGTGATATAGAATAAAATCAATTATTGGGACAGTATGGTAGGATAATATCACTATTATCATTTATTATTATTATTATTATTATTATTATTAATATTATTTATTTTTTCACTAACCACCCATAAACGTTGCTTTCTCAAAAATACAAACATGTACATTCATGCTGCTCACATATCTTTGTAGCCCGGTTTGTGCTGAATACCCACGCAGAAGAAAGTCCAGTTCGTCCTCAAAGAGATGCACAACAGATCATTGCAAGTGAGTTTGCGGCACACTTTCACAGTCTTTGTTGTTCATGACGTGTTTTTTTACAACTTTGTTACCTGGGGGTTGTAAGGCACTAGTCTTTGTGAAGCTCTTCACACATTAAACTGAATTGAATATGAATTGTCCTGTGTGCTGCAGTCAAAAGCAGTCATCACTCCGTGGGTGGGTCTGAGGAAGATCAATGTCTCCTACTGGTGCTGGGAGGACATGTCCCCCTTCACCAATTCCACGCTACAGTGGTTGCCAGGCGAGCCCAGCGACGCTGGTTTTTGTGGGTACCTGGCTGAGCCCACTTTTAATGGCCTGAAGGCGGCAACCTGCGTCGACTCTGTTAATGGGAGTCTGTGTGAACGACCAAGTGAGAAAGATGCACATACACACACAACATTGACCAGTGCTCACTTGCCTTATTAACAGAAAACTCTAAATCATGTCAATGATTAATGTGCAAATGTGCAATTTCCTGTTTTCAGAAATATATTATATTATATTATATTATATTATAAATTCCTGTTTTAAATGATATTTTAGTTCATTATGCTTTTAATATTTTGTATCATTTCCTGTTTTTAAAAAAGATGATATATTATGATATTATATTAAATGGTAAATGATGTTATATTACACTGTATAATATTATTGTTATTAGTGGTCGACCGATATATCGCCTCGGCCGATATTTGGCATTTTTCAAATATCGGCATCGGCCGATAAGTTTTTCTGTTTGGCCGATGCGTTCGAGGCACAGACACAGTGCTCACATTCTCCCTCTTGTTCGCCGTCGTCGTTAACAGTTCTGTCTAATACGGATAGATGTCTGTCTAATAATCCGATAGCACTATTAAACAAAGGAATTAAAATGTATACAAAATGTATTATAAAGATTGCTTTTATATTATTAGTAATAGAAAGGCAAACATTATAATACTTTTATTTGCATTCAGCAAATACGCATTTACATCATTTAAACAAATCTTTGAATGGTTAATGAAAATTTAATTTCACAAACCTTGCAAACTTAGTCGAATCCAGTTGTGAGATCTTGTGAAGTATGCACGTGACCTGCATGATCGCTTGTTCTCTGTGTGACTTTCGGTCCGTGCAAATTGAATGCTTTAAACATTAAATTCGTGATTTCAAATTATGCTGCGCTTTATGCATTTGCCCACTGTAATATTCATGTCATTTTCACTGTGTGCTGAATGTAAAATGAGCGTTACCTTGGCTTTATTTGAAAAAATATGATTCCCAATGCACACAAACTGCCCAGAATACTGAGTGCTCTGTTGGTTACAGTCAAGCGGCAACCTTCCGCTCTCTCTCGTGAAACCAACACGGAAGTGACTAAAACTGCAATTCATTGACTGGCCACTTTACAGCAGAAAACTTTACAGCAGAAACAGAAAAACAATTATATCGGCTATCGGCCACCCTGCTTTCCAAGATATCGGCATCGGCTGTCAAAAAAACAATATCGGTCGACCACTAATTGTTATTATATTATTGTTGTTGATGTTATAAATTAATGTTTTTGAAATATACTAGATTTTTATTTTTTATATTTTATATATTTACTTACATTTAATTACATTTAATTATTTTGTTAGGTTTTTTATAATAATTTATATTTTATAAATAGATTTTTTAACAGAAATGTAAAATATAATAACAGATTTTTAAATAACTGATGCCAATAGGCAATATACAGTAAAATAAAATATAATCAAAAATGAAAATATATCAAATAAAATTTAATATAATATATTTTAAACCAGGAATTTATCAAATAATTAGTTAATTAATATTTAAACAGGAATTACTATATTATATTATATTATATTATATTATAAATCACAGTTTTTAAATATATTATAATAGTTTTTATTTTATATATTTTCCTTTATTAAATCATATTTTATTTTATTATATATTGCCAGTTGTTATCAGTTATTGAAAAAACCTGTTATTATATTACACAGATATTTTTTTTCTTACCTTTTTTTTAACCTTAAATCATTTATAAATCTGTTATTGCCCCTTATTTAAAAAAATAATAATTTGAACCTTATTTTTCTGTTGCTTATTGATATGAGAATCTTTAAAGGACTTTTTTAATGCACTTCCCTCTTTTCTCACTCATGTGTCTTTTCTTTCATTCTGTTTCTCTGTCTCTCTCTCTGTTCCTGCAGCGAACCACAGTGTGAAGCAGTGTCGGACGCCCTGTGCCCTGCGCTCTTCCTGTAGTGAGTGCACCAGTGGGAGCTCAGAGTGCATGTGGTGCAGTAACATGAGGCAGTGCGTGGACTCTAATGCTTATGTAGCGTCCTTCCCCTACGGCCAGTGCATGGAGTGGTACACCATGAACAGCTGCCCACGTATGTCTGGCTTTCTTTTAGTGGATTCATGCCTGGCAGCCTGTGTCTTGTTTTCTCTTTGTAAATCGAAGATTGAACATTAGCACGTCTCCTGTTTATTGACTTGTAATGGACAAAGCAGTTTTACAACGGACATAAAATCAATTCAGATTAATATGCTAATAATAACTTTACTGTCAAGGGTTCAGTTTGAGGTGATTGCACTGCATGACCCCTGTTATAAATGGATGTGTGTTTTTATTGTAGCGGAGAACTGTTCTGGCTACAAGACCTGTGGTCACTGTTTGGACCAGCCTGGGTGTGGGTGGTGCACTGATCCCAGCAATACAGGACGGGGCCAGTGTATAGAGGGCTCTTACCGCGGTCCAATCCAAACACTGTTCCACGCCCCTTCCTCTTCAGGCCCCTCCCTCTTTGCCGCCCCTCAGCCAATGCTGAATGTGAGCTTGTGCCCACTAGAGGGCAGCTACAACTGGTCCTTCATCCAGTGCCCAGGTAAAACTCATCTCACTTTTCTAAATTGTTCTACATTGGTCGAGTTTATGAAATGTTATGAATATAGTGATGCTAAATTGAATTGGGTTTCAAAATGTCTCTTTGACGCTGATATACTTAAAGCATATATAAAATTAAGCAACATTGTGAATAGGGCTGTCACAATTCCTTGTTTCCGTTTGAGTACTTGATTTTAAAAGGTCCTTGATTTCATTTTGTCCGTGAAGTGGAGCGTCCCATGGACGAGAATCCATGAAACGCATTATTAGACCGTTTTTCAAGGCTGCATGATATGTTAAACCCATTAAAAATCATAATAAAGCATAGTGCTATTGTGAGTTCAAACATTATGATTGAATTAAATAAACAGGCAATTCAGGTTTAATATATATGCGCTTTATTTACATGCATGTAGGTTAGGTACGGCTCCATTAATAGTAAATGATGATCCACACTAACTATTATCAATTACATGTGTGAAGCGTGTTACATGTGTTTTATACATTCTCGTCTGTGAAATGCGCCACTTCCGGTATTTTGCCGGTTAGTTGACGCAAGCAAAATGAAGTCGAGGATTTAAAAAAATTGAATAGTCGAATAAAATAGACGAATCACGAAAGCCCTACTAATTATTATTGGCTCATTGCTATTATATTTGTATTTTAAGCTTCGGTCTATTTTTATTATGACAAAAAAAAAATTATAATTATCCGATTACTCAATTAATCGTCAGAATAATCGACGGATTACTCGATTACCAAAATAATCATTAATGCAGCCCTAATTGTGAATATTGCAGTGCTTTTTATTTGGTTAATCTGTCTATTGAAAGAATCCTGAAAAATGCATCACCGTTTCCACAGAAGTATTATACAGCACAAGTGTTTTCAACATTGATTATAATAAGACATATTTCAGCATTTTGGAATAATTTCTAACGGTTAATGTGACATTACAGAGTGGAGTAATCAGTAATGCCATTTCAGGAATACAATACATTTTAAAATATATTAAAATAGAAACCATTTATTTAAAATTGTAATAATATTTCAACATATTACTATTTTTGCTGTTTTGATAAAATAAATGCAGCCTTCTTTCATAAATAATAAAAAAAAAATTTAAATTGTAATTGTACTACTATAAAAGTCTCAATCTAAAACAAATTAGTTTGTTATTTTGATATATTATTTAAAAGAATGTAAATTAAAATTGTTAAATATAATTGGTTTAAAACCAACATTGTGTAAAACGTGTTGATAATTTTTACTTTTATTTCTTAAGTTAAAGATTGTGACTATTGTGGATGTTGAATAACCTTTAAAAGCCATTTTAGAGAGAATGTAATTATCACAGTGTATATTGAATCATTACATAGCTGACAAATACAGCTTTTTATAGATATATTGCTCTGGCTCTGTTTGTAACTACTTCTATCTCAGTTTTACTTTAGATACTGTTTGCATTTTACTGCATAGTACTGATCATCGGTTTCCTTAAATTGTTCTGTTTGTTCCTCTCTCATGCAGCGTGCCAGTGTAATGGACACAGCTCTTGTATCAATGAGAGCGTGTGTGAGAGATGCGAGGACCTCACCACAGGCAAACAGTGCGAGAGCTGTATCTCCGGTTACTATGGCGATCCCACAAACGGGGGCAGCTGTCAACGTAAGTCTAAACACAAGCCCAGGCCAAAATACAGTTGACTTCTGCTGCCGGTTTGATAGGGTCTTAACTGTATGTGTGTGTTGGTCATTTGCAGCTTGTAAGTGCAACGGCCATGCCAGCATGTGTAACTCTAACAATGGCAAATGCTTCTGTACCACCAAAGGCATCAAAGGAGACCGCTGCCATTTGTAAGTGTGCGCTCTCACACTCGTTCTGCCTCAGTCTTGTGAGGTTTTCTCTGCTTTGCCATTAGAAGTAATTTGTCAAATGTACGACGGATAGCTTATCGTTATCTTCTCTATATCAAACTCTGTTCTTTATAATTCTACTCATTTTCACTCTGGGCTTTTGTTTCGTTCTGTCCCTCAGGTGTGAGGTAGAGAACCGTTACCAGGGCAACCCTCTGAAGGGAACGTGTTATTGTGAGTATGTCAATGCAGCGGCTGATGACTGTTCATATTGTGGCTATTTGAGTAATTTAGTCATTTTCAGAACTAGTCGTTTTGTCCTTACCTGACTAAATCAGACAGAAAACACAAACCTGCGCATGTGTCAGTCAATCTGGGAAAATATCCAGATTTTAAGTATATAGTTTTTCAATATTACCTTTTCTCCTCTTCCTCTCACACACAACTCTATCTTTATCTCTGACGCACAGACACTCTGCTGATAGATTACCAGTTTACCTTCAGTTTGTCTCAGGAGGACGACCGCTACTACACTGCCATCAACTTTGTGGCAACTCCAGATGAGGTGTGTTACGCTGAAAAGACTTTACTGTTCAAAAGTACTTTTTTTTTCTTTTTTCTTGTGGAGTCATGGTCAACTAGGTGTCAATAAACCAAGGCTGACAGTTTACCTTGATTTACAAACACAACAAACCTTGATATGATCAAATAGTGAACTAATTTGATTGACATGCAGTTGGACGTCTGATGTTACTGTTATCCATAAAGCTTTTTTTTCATAAATGTATTCAGCAATTCACTGTTGAACAGAGGAAACAATACAGCATTAAGGGGGTTTACCAAGGACGCATTCTTAAAGTGCACCTATTATGTCCCTTTTTACAAGATGTAATATAAGTCTCATGTGTCCCCAGAATGTCTGTGAAGTTTCAGCTCAAAATACCCCACAGATCATTTATTAGATCATTTTGAAATTGCCTATTTTGAGTGGAAGCAGAAACACGCTGTTTTCGTGCCTATATCTTTAAATGCACATGAGCTGCAGCTCACCGCCCCCTTTTCCAGAATAGGGCTGTGCCTTTACAGCTTGTACCTTAGGTACTCTGCCAAAACAAAACATCTGTTAGGTTTTGATTATCATGTCTATCGCGCTAAAATCATGCGTTTTAAAGCCATATCAGTTTAAACTTTTGATATACGCACACATCCGAAGCACGACTTAAACTGTCAAATACACACAAGTTTATGTTAAAAACACACAAGTTACAAAAACACAGTTGCTCATGTCTGTGAAGGCAAACTGCTGGGAAAGAAATTGCATGTTTATGTTAGATCTGTGTATTAAGTGACAGCAGCGTAATATACAGTACCTGCTGCTGTCTATGCTGTTAATATGACCCAAACTAAATAAAAAAAGAAAATCACTCACTGCTCTTGAATGATTTCTGTAGCTCTAATAAGATGACATTTCTTACTTGAATGCTGCTTTTAAATGCTCTAGTGTGAAGATAAACATGGCGGATTGTGCGCGGCTCACTCAGGGTGGGGTTTCTGCTAATACAGCAGTGTCCATCAACAGTTGTGGGCGGGGCTTGTAAAATGTGACGTCACTTTTTACAGACTCTGCAAATGGCTTGTTCTGAGACACTGCTTATGATTTATGGGGATAAAAAAAGAGCAGGTGGAATTTTACCATTATAGGGTGGTTGTGTACACACACTGCCAGCATGCATTGATGTTCAAACAACATATAAAAGTGAATTTTGCATAATAAGTGCCTTTTAATTAAAATTGAGTAGAAAAACGATAGAAAAGTTTGTTAACTGCCATAGACCATGCCTTATGTACTTTCAGTGAGGTCCGTCTCGAAATTTTGAAGATTTGTGACACATAGTTTGCATTTTTGATTAAATAAACGCAGCCTTTGCAGAGATCTTTCAAAAACATTAAAAATTTGGAACAACAGTGTTGTTATATTTGCAAGAAATTCGCCATCAAAATATTTTAAATATTACACAAGCGTCTATTAATGTCTATAGCGTCTATTAATGTCTATTTTTATATAATCTAGTGACTTGTGTAATAAAAGGGATTTTATCATTTCATTTTGTTCTTGAGTTGAGTTAAAAGCGAGACTCAAACAGAAGACACATTTTATGTGATGCATAAATTTAGATAAGCATCAGTTTGGAAAGTAGATTATGCTTTAAATCATACTGCTGATATGCCATCGTATAAAAGCTACAGCAGTTTGTGGACATTTTGGCTTATATAATAAATTTGAGAAGTTGTATATTTTTCTTTGAATATTTCATATACTGTCATTTTTCCGTCTGAATGTTTTTTTGGATTTCTCTTGCAGCAAAATCGAGACCTGGACATGTTTATTAATGCCTCAAAAAACTTTAACCTCAACATCACATGGGCAACCAGCTTTGCAGGTATGGAGCCCCGACATGTGTTAAACATATATTTTAAGCACATCATAAATGTGCTGTGTGTGCAGCTGAAACTCTCTTCCTTCCTGTAACCCTGCATTTCTTCCTTTCTGAGCAGCTGGGACTCAAGCTGGTGAGGAAATCCCTATAGTCTCCCGCAGCAACATAAAGGAATTCAAAGACAGTTTCTCCAATGAGAAGTTTGATTTCCGTAGCAATGCCAACATTACCTTCTACGTGTATGTCAGCAACTTTACCTGGCCAGTCAAAATCCAGGTGAGAAGAGTCCGCACATTATTGAGTCCGGTGATGTACATAGAGAAAAATATCACGTCTGTGTGTATGAGCGCTATTTAAACATCAGCGAGGGTCTTTGTGTTTTGTTTTGCTATCTTATCTGTAAATTCACAGAGGCCGTGTCCTTTTATTCTTTCTCATATATCTTTGGCCTTTTCTGTCTGGTCTGAAAATGATTTGGCAGAGCTTTCCTTTCCCTCCCTCTTCTCATCTCTTCTCCTCCTCTTTTCCTTTCCCCCTCCTCTCTTCCTTTGCTTTGGAAAGTGATCTAACTTACCCTCCTGTGCTAGGACGCTGAAACTCAGAGTTTAGTTTGATTCTCCGTCCGCTGTTCTAGAGCACGTTCTCTCCTCAGCTCATGGAGAAAGGGTGAATTTCACACAGGTAACGCCCTTATCGTCTCTCTTGTTCGCCTTTCGCCTCTAGCTGATTTTTGGCTGCCATGTTTCGTCTAACAGGGATTGCATGTGTGGATCCGAGCACGATTGCGGGTGGGAGGGCTTGTGCCATGGTAGCTCTGGAGGACAGAGGGGTTGTTGTCAGGCGTTTAGAGGAGAACGACGAGAGGGATTGGGCTGGAGAAAAACGCAGCGCTCGAAACCTGCTCTGTAAACATGGCAGGCTGAGACTGAGAGTGTCAGGAGGAATGTTAAGTTGAAACACATGGCTCTTTGAGAGAGAGACTGAGGGAAGAGCCTGAGAGGAATAAGAGAATCAGAGAGATCAGAAAGTTCAGAAGAGGCACAATTCCAGCCTTCTGTTTCTGGCTCTTGTTTTCGTTTTGCCTGTGGTCAAAGAGTCTGTGCGGCCTGTGTAGTTTTTGGCCAGCGGAATGGAAGCGTGTGAATCTAAACAAGAGTATAGTAGGAGCGTTCATGTGTCGAGTTTCTGTGTGAGAATGTGATTTAAAAGCAGAATTTGGTTGAGCTTCATGAAAACATTTACAGGTCACATATCAACCCCAAATCAAAAATTTAGCATGAAGACCTTTTTTATTAAGAATCACATGATTGTGAAGTTCATTTACCTTCAAATTCTTAATAATACCAAAATGGATCCAGACATTTGACTTTGTGTTTGCATTTTTACGTTTTTAATTGGTGTAAAATAATCATTACTGTAAACAGTACAACAAATGCTGCCACTGTATCTAAATACTGTTGAATGGAAGCCCATTTCTGCCACAGTTGAGAAAAAAATATGATTTCTTTAAGTCATAATAATGAGAAAGTTTCTCATAATTATGACTTAGTATCTCATTATATTGAGAAACTTTCTCGAAATAATGAGAAACTTTCTTGAAATAATGAGAAACTTTCTTGAAATAATGACTTAATTTCTCGAAATATTGAGAAAATTTCTCGAAATAATGAGAAACTCTCGAAATAATGAGAAACTTTCTCGAAATAATGACTTAATCCACGCATGCGCAGTGCAAGTGACGGCACACTAGTGACATCTGTTGGTCAAAGCCATGCAGGAACACAGCAAACATTGCTTTGTTCTGTAATCTAAAGTGTATAATCTGTAATTAAATAACGATTTCAGATCAATTATCTGCATGTAGTCTTGTTAATTTGTATCACTTACCAAGTTACTCTGCCAGATAGTTCATGGCTTCAAACATTCCAGACTAATATTTCAGTTAAGAATCCCTTTTATGAAGATTTTATGAAGAAATGGAAGTCATTACACATATAAACTTAATTAATAGATGTTTATTTCGATGATTTATTAGTTTTATTAGCTGTCCCTTTCATGCATCACATGCATACAATGTTCATACAGTAAGCCATCTCATTTCAAAAGCACAAAGCATCGTTGTTCGTTACCAAGGCAACCGCTTAGTCTTGGTCTTCAGCGTCCCGCTTCTTGCAGGACAAATGCTTAACGTGAAAAAAGCTTAACGTGGCTTGAAGTACAAAGACAGACTGAAGCAAATTCAGTACGCAACTTAATGATCATGCATACTGTATACAGGCATTCAGCTGGACCCAAAATATGAATGCAATGCAAAACTGCAACGCTTATTCTATAACTGTTTTCTATAGGAAAACGCTTAACGTGCAACTTTGGGTGTTGCGTTCAGATTCTGGGCTCTTATGCTTGCCTTTATGCATGATCAATAATATTGTATCCTGAATTGGTCATTGTACTTTAAGCCACTTTAAGCATTTTTCACGTTCACATGTCCTGCAAGGCGTGGTGTGGGATGCTGAAGACCAAATGGTTGCCGTGGTAACGAACAACTACGCTTTGTGCTAGTGAGATGAGATTGGGCTACTGTATAACCATTGTGGGCCTATGCATGTGATGCATGAAAGTGACAGCTAATAAAACTAACAAATCATCGAAATGAACATCTATTCATTAAGTTTATATGTGTAATGGCATTCATTTCTTCATAAAATGTGTGTGATTTTTGTTGGAATATGTTCCTCTATATCTGTTTGAAGCCATGATCTATCATTGTCTGGCAGAGTAACTTGTTGGTAGGTGCTACGAATTAACAAGATCACATGCAGATAATTTATCTGAAATCGTTAATTAATGACAGATTATACACTTTAGACTACAGAACAAATGTTTGCGGTGTTCCTGCATGGCTTTGACCAACAGATGTCGCTAACGTTACATTGCGCATGCATGGATTAATTCATTATTCCGAGAAAATAAGTCATTATTTCGAGAAAGTTTCTCATTACTTCGAGAAAGTTTCTCGTTATTTCGAGATGTTAAGTCATTTATGAGAAAATTTCTCATTATTTCGAGATGTTAAGTCAATGAGAAAATTTCTCATTATTATTTCGAGAAAGTTTCTCGTTATGAGATTTTATCCCCTGAGTATTATAATATATTAACTCATAATTATATACTAAGGCATAATTACAAGAAAGTTTCTCATTATTATGACATAGTAAGTCGTTATTATGAGAACGTTTCTCAATATAATGAGAAACTAAGTCATAATTACGAGAAATTATGACGTACAGAATTATATTTTTTCTCAAAGTGGCAGGAATGGGCTTCCATACTGTTGAAATAACAATTATTAGGGGTTCAAGCACGCAGTGCTGAAACCCTATTGTAATTGTTAGGATTTTTATTATTATTATTATTATTATTCCGCCGTAAAACTGATTGTGCAGACCAAACCATAAGTCCTAGAGACTTGAAACTTGGCCAGATGGTAGACCTCAATTTGGGGAGAACCTATTAAACGAGAAAATAAGTCATTATTTCGAGAAAGTTTCTCATTATTTCGAGATGTTAAATCATTTATGAGAAAATTTCTCATTATTTCGAGATGTTAAGTCATTAATGAGAAAATTTCTCATTATTTCGAGAAAGTTTCTCGTTATGAGATTTTATCCCCTGAGTATTATAATATATTAACTCATAATTATATACTAAGGCATAATTACAAGAAAGTTTCTCATTATTATGACATAGTAAGTCGTTATTATGAGAACGTTTCTCAATATAATGAGAAACTAAGTCATAATTACGAGAAATTATGACGTACAGAATTATATTTTTTCTCAAAGTGGCGGGAATGGGCTTCCATACTGTTGAAATAACAATTATTATGGGTTCAAGCACGCAGTGCTGAAACCCTATTGTAATTGTTAGGATTTTTATTATTATTATTATTATTATTCCGCCGTAAAACTGATTGTGCAGACCAAACCATAAGTCCTAGAGACTTGAAACTTGGCCAGATGGTAGACCTCAATTTGGGGAGAACCTATTAAAGACTCAGCACAATTGGCCAATAGGAGGTGCTACAGCGATCAAAAACGCGTGACCCCCCCCCCTTGTGATTTTGGGTCCTGGAGGTCATGTTTTTCCGCAAATTTGAACTATGTCCAAAACATGCTTTTGCTAACTAGTCTTAGGTTTTTTGCCTGATCGGAACCAAACCACTGGAGAAATATTCTCTGGACAGTGAATATCAATAATTATCAAAAAAAAGTTTATATTTCGACTAGAAATGTTTGTAAGGGGAGGGGCCATTTTTACTAAAATGGCTATAACTCATGAACGGAATGAGATATCTCCACCAAACTCGGTACACATGTGTATGAGCTCAATCTTGCGCAGCTCTGCCACTTGGTGGCGCTATAAGATGGAAAAAACATAAAAACAGCTATAACTACACAAGAGTTAGTCCAATTGACCTGAAAATTGGTATGCAGTGTCTTTGTCCAATGTGCCATAAGGGTCTATGAGGACATTGGCGTATCTCAAAAAACATGGCCGCCATCGGCCAGTGAAGTTTGAGCACCTATTAGACAAGGTTAAGTGAGGCCGATCGGAACGAAACTTGGTGGGCATGTTCGACTCATGGCCCTAAAGGTCTGTAAGAATTTTGAAAGAAATCCGCCACTAGTT